ATTCGAAATTATCAAATCAACCGTTGGTAATGAGACCTATAAAAGAGAAAAGGGTTTTTTTCAAAAATAATTCTGTTTCAGTAATCTAAAAGTAATATGCTTACTATTCAGGTCATGAATGTTCAAAGTTCGATCTCCGGCAAGATTTTTAGTTTACCATGCTGATCAGATACAAATGAAATCGGAGATATATATATATATATATATTGTAGTGGCCGGTACCATGGCAAGCCCGTTTAGGTTACTCTAGCTTCTAGATAGACCAATTTATTCATTCTTACCAAGCTAGCTACATTTTGACATTGTCACTTATTTGTTCAATAATCATGTTCGTTTTTATGTGTTCATATATGTGTTCATTACTTGCCCTATTCATTATGTAACTGTAACGTATTTTATTTGACTATGAATATCGATTCACTCTTGGTTAAATGGAGTTGGCTCACTCCTTCTTTCCAGTCCATCGACACTTGTTCCTCTTTCCAAATCTTCTTGAATAGAACGGTAATCATTTTTGCCGTTACTTCTAGGTCTGACTTTAGTGTTTCAGCCGTTATATTGTCAGGTCCTGTTGCTGCCCCAAACCTAATTTGTCTGATGAACATGTTGATTTCTTCAATCGTAGGTAGAGTGGCAGCTATAGAAAGGTTTGTGTGTGTTGCCTCTATAGCCGGTGGATTCAGCGAAACTCGTCTATTCAAGAGTTCTTCGAAGTATTCTACCTATATGTTCTATTGTTCTTGAGTCTCAGTGATTGCCTTGCCTTCTTTGTCCTTGACCGGTCTCTCTGGTTTACCATATTTCCTTTCGCGTTTCTTCGTTAAGATATATAGTTGTTTCGTATTTCCTCCTGTTGCAGCTTTTTCCACTGTTATTGCTAGCTCTTCCACGTATTTCTCCCTACAGACTTCAATGCTCCTCTTCATTTGGTTGTTTGCTTCTGTGTATTCATCTTATACCTTGACTTTTTATGCTCTTGTTAGAGTGTTGTTAACTGCGGTAGTCTTTTTCTTTCTTTTTTGAATGATGTCTAGTGTTGTGTATTACCCTATTTCTCCAACGGCAAATTTTGCTATGAGCTAAACTGTTAATGTGAATCAATCATTTCAAAATGGGCTATTCAGCTTACTTGTCCACTTTTACTCAGTGCAGAACAATAGGTGAAGATTGGAAGGAAGAAGACAGAACTAGTGATAAATACGTGTTTAGTGTCTTTTGGTATTTAATAAAGTTACTTTTTACATTGGAATGTAATAAAATGATGGTCACTTAGTTTCCGTACATGTTCTAATGATCAGTCAGTTTTTGTCCATTTCTAAATCTTTAAATTGTAAGAGTAAAATGCTACAAACTGAAATTTACATTTTACAGTGATTAGTCTCTTTTACCATCTCGAAATTTATTATAAACATTTATGTAATTTATATTGTATCACTATCTATCAGATAAAAAAAACATGGAGCCCCTCTGGGTCTCCGGCTGGCCCCAAGCTGGGATAAATGCGAAAAGGGGTTGAGCATAGGGTTAGTGACCCCGTCCCGTAGAAAACTAACCCGCTAAAAAAAGAACGTTAACCAGAAAATCTATCAAATAAGCATTAAACTTAATGAGATCCTTTTTCATGTTTTGTCGGCTAGATTCTACTTTTTAATCTCGGACGATAAAAGAAACCAAGAATACAAATCAAGCTTTTCATTTAAAATCAATCTATATTTAAGGGAAGAAAGTATTTATTGAATTACCAGGATCTTTATTACTTCAGATATCCCCAGAAGAGATATTTGTGCCATCATATACAATGAAATTTACAGGAAGATATACTCTTTTTCTGATTATTTTGGTGTTGATATTCTAGGATGTTCCTTGAAGAACTGTCTAAAAATAATCTTATCATATAGTCGATTTCCAGAAAATCTTTTTACTTCTTACCCTCCATGTATTTAGTAAATCGCATATATTTCCTGTAGTATTCTATCCTTATATGAAATCTTTATTTTATATATTACCACCACTGAATTAACTACTTCTATGAATCCAGTGTTCATCTTTCTATGCTAATGAGGTATAGCAACTTGAACCGATGCATATATATATATATGCCTGTTCCTTTATTGTAGCTAACTGACTAAGTATTCTGCTCATTTTTAGTTAACTTATCATAATAGTTATTATCATTCCAACAAATTTATTTGTAATATAAAAAGAAAAAACGTACATTTACATTCATATTTCATATACGATCAATCTACAATGTCAATATAATGCCCATTTCGAATGTTTATCTTATTCAGTGAATAAACTGACAATACATCGATAATCGATAAACAGTTTTATAGGATACACGATAAAGATGTCTATTCATTAGTTTAACTCTTTAATTCACTCTCTTTTTGAAATATATTCTTGACAGTTGGCAACTTTTAGTATAACCACACAATTTATTATTATTATTCGTTACCATTGGGGAGGGGGAGGGGGAATAGGTTTACATGCATGTATACACATGTATATAAATATAATACTTGAATGTACTAGTTGCTTGTCATAATTATTGATTATATATTTAAATAACCTACTTTCTTTAAGTAGTCTATGTTCAATGTGACTAAAAGTAATATGTTAGTAATGTTTTAAATGAATGATGTAATCTAGAAGAATGATACTTATAATGAGGAAGAAGATATCATCACATTACAATTTGGAGCCTGTTATATACACTATAGTATATTCAATGATAATAGTATGAGAGAAAACAAAAAAATAGTTTTTCGTTCTAAACTGACCAAAATATCAGGAATTATTCTTAGTTAGAACACCATTGGAAAGTTGAAATCATTGAGATGGTGGAGAAGATCTGTAGCTCAGGTGGACGATTTTGATGGAGTTTTGTTCTCTGAGCTGGATGGTTTGGTCGTGGAGCTTTCATCGTTCTTCTTCTAGACAACATCATTAGCACAAACTTCAGATAGAAGTGAAGTGTTCGAATTTCTGCATATGATTTTCACAGCTCGTTCTGTACACCTTGACGTTGATTGGTTCTTATTGACCTTAAATTTGTCATTGTTTTCTTCGAACACTTCACTTCTATTTGAAGTTTGTCCTGATGATGTCTTTCGGAAGAACGATGAAAGCTCCACGACCAAACCATCCAGCTCGGAGAACAAAACTTCGTCAATTGAAATCATTGGATGACCGTTTCATTTTAGTATGAAACTCTTGACAACCTGGTATTTGGGCATAGAACCTAAGTACCTCCGATTTGGATGGCATATGAACGCTTAATATCTAGAACCATGAATCGGTATCCAATCGTTCAATTTTGTTAAGTTTTTAATTGTGTTCTAATTAAGACTAACTTGAAATTTAAAATTGATGTACATTTCATCATCTCCACAAAATTCTATGCTGATCAAGAAATGTTTCAAGATGAATTGACAAGTAATACGGTGCATGTCTTACAATGTGTTGTAAGCTTTAAAGTGTTAGACTTGTCAATTAAGATAGTAATCGTTCGTGATAAGCTAGTTTCCAGTGATCTTTGAACAGGTAGAAATCTGTTATCATAAGTATATTCATACTGATTCAATTCATATAGTTTAGAAATTTTCACAGGTTGAAATCATGAGTCAGTTGAAGCTAGACCACCATTGAAAACCTGGAAGCACTGGACGGCCGTTTCGTCCTGGTATGGGACTCCTCAGCAGTGCGCATCCACGATCCCGCACCACGCGGATGCGCACTGCTGAGGAGTCCCATACCAGGACGAAACGGCCGTCCAGTGCTTCCAGGTTTTCAATGGTGGTCTAGCTTCAACTGACTCATGATTTCAACCTGTGAAAATTTCTAAAACTCTCCACAAAACCCATTCTCATATAGTTTACTTTATGAACTTGAAAAGTATTGAACATTTTGCAATGATTAATTCTCTGATCAAATAGATAATAATGATAATTATTCAATTCATTTATTAAGTACAGATTACTTTAGTCGACTATGAACCATACTTTAGGTTTGAAGGTTAGTAATATTGTAATGATTCATAAACTGATGAAAATGAAATAATAAAAAATCCCTAAAATTTACTGATTAAAATCTGAGTCCTTTCATTCTTTTCTGGTAAGCGTTTTTTTTTAGCCAGTTAGTTTTCTACGGGATGGGGACGCTAACCTCATGCCCAACCCTCCTCTTTTACCCGGGCTTGGGACCGGCAGTAACTCTGGAAGAGCCACAGGCGGAGTTGATTCCTTTCATTACTGAGCTCTACTACACATATATATATGAGATACTATTATATTCTTACTTTAGAGCTAAGAAGAAATTTTTAAGGTTTGTGAGGAAATCTCCTCTACATTATGAAGACGTTTGGCTGTTTATCTTTCACGTAGGGTGTGATACATTTGTAATTTTTCTCAAAATAACACACTGCTGAAATATTGTGGAAAGTATATCAGTATATACGTATATATATATATATCATTATACCTTCTTGTTTACAAGCATTTATGTTTAAAACATATTTCAAGTATAGCTTTTATTTACTTTACTTACTTACGCCTATTACTGCCGATGGAGCATAGGCATTCTCCAACCCGCTCTTTCCTGAGCCTTCTTTTCTAATTCTTTTCAATTGTTGTTCTTTTTTTCATATGTCTTTATTTCTCGGTGTAATGTGTTCATTGGTCTTTCTCTTCTCCTTTTGGCCATGAGGATTCCACTCCGACTAGAGGCTATGGTTACTGCCGATTCTAAGCTCGAATAAAAGAGGAGAGTTGGGCATGGGGTTAACAATCCCATCCTGTAGAAAACAAACTTGCCATAAATAGAACACTAACCAGAAAAAAGTAATTCAAACCAGCTTTTATTTAACTTATAACTAATACAATCATAAGGGAATATCTCATTGAATACATGAATTCTCATTATAATTATAGTAAAGCATTTTATTTATCATGAACATTTATCTATTTATACATGAATTCTTTTATGGTTTTTTTTTTCAGATTGTATTAATATTTTCACAGGCTGATAAACAAACTCAATTAATGATTGATGCAGCTCAACAATTAAAACATAATTGTACATTGATCAATACAATTAAACAGGATACAACAATAAAGGATATAGATAAGATTATTAATGAAAAGCTTATTGATGTACAACAGGTTAGTACTTCTCTCTCTCTCTCTCTCTAGCGATATTACTGTGTTTATTGGCATATACAAGTGTTCATTCTAGATGGTGGTTGGAGGTAGTCGACAGGAAACCGTGGACACAGGTTTCGTGCTACTAGGCACTCGCCAGCAAGGTGTACCTGTAATCCTGAGGGAACTGGTGCTCCCTAGCGGATTCGATCTCGTGTCACCCAGCTTCACAGTCAGAGACGTTACCACTGAGCTATCCTAGCCACGACTGATCTCCTGTGGGACGGAGATGTAATCACAATTGATTGATCACTGGGTGATGATCAATGTCATTCGTATCAAGTCCTTATTTAGTGCAGATCAAATGCATGACAAGTGTTCATTCTATTTCTTTATTCATTTATTATTATATTACTTACGTTGAATGTAAGATCTATGGTTTAAACTTCATCTAACAGAGATACTGTTTAACTACAAGACATAATAAATATGATTTGTTATGAAACGATAAAAGAACACCTATTTGGAATTCAACTGGATCTGTTTTGAAATAGTAATTCACTGAAGACGATGGTGGATGTGTTGTTCAGTCTCGTGGATTAGTTGAAATTAGACATTAACACCATTAGATGCTAGTTTAGTGGTTTAGAGTTAAAGCTTTCGCGCGTGAAACCGATAGGTCCTGGGTTTGAATCTCGAGAAGTGGAATCGTGGATGTGCACTACTGAGGAGTCCCACAATAGGAAAAAACTGCCGTTCAGTGATTCGAGGTTTTCTATTGTGGTTTAGCTCCAATCGACTCATAATCTCAACTATTAAAATTACTATAATATCTACAAAAACCCCTTCCAATAAATATTTGTTTAACTTTATAAAATAATGAAGTCATTTCTTACAAAATATTACTAAACACATTCATCTATAATGAAGCAGACATGGTTATACCGAGAAATCAATTTAGAATAATGTACATTACATATGTTATGAACTACTAATTACTAGGACTAGAATTAAAGTTCATTTAACTAAGTCTATTTGACAAATGGTCAGTTATAAACTGAATAACTTATTGAGAAGGTACCCAGCCATGATAATTGGTTACGTGGATTCAAATCTCTCGACTAGTAACGGTTCCTTAAAGATTTCATGCAGTTACTAACGATAGGTTTATATGAAATATAATGTGAAATGAGATAATGGAATAACTTCTAATTTGTCATAGGAAGTTTGTCATTCATATCAAACTATTCACGCAAAACTACATGGTGGACTTTAGAAATATTAACATTTTGAATGCATCTATTAGCAGTCAACTCAATATAGTGATTATGATCGAACGAAATTCTGACTCAATGAAAGTCCTTGAAAGATGAGCGACCTAAATTTAATTATTAAAAGTTAGTAATAGTTACTACTGCTTCTACCTGGCTAACCTTTGGTTTCACCATGAAAAATGTCCCATCGACAATTATCAATTGATTACTAATGACCAACTAATAAAGACAATTTCCAGAGTTCTAGAGAGAAATCATAATCATTGAAGTCCGAACTTGTCACGAGTCAGACAGTTATCAACAATACCCAATAGAACACGGTCTCATACTATCACAATTTGTTTGAAATGAGATGTCACTACTGTCGAATGTCGGTTCAGTGATCTAAAGGTTAATCGCTCGTGCGTGATACCGAATATGATGTATTCTATTTCCAGATATAAGGTTGTAGATGGATACTGGTGTACGTCTGAGGAACCCTATACTAGGACGAGACCACTGTATAATACCTTTAGGTTTCCATTGATTATCGAACTAAGATCAATTTGTCTCTTTAATCAAATGTATACTTAGTTTAGTCGTCATGTAACAAATAAATTCTTCTGTATCATCATTGTTGTGTTTTATCATTTATTTGAATTAAATGATTTACTTTGTAAAACCAATTTCTGATAAACATGGATGAAATTTATTATGATTTCAGTGAATAAAATCAATAATGTTTTACAGGATTAATAGTGTTTAGGTAATGAGGACATTACTAACCAAGTTCATTTAAGGTCAACCTTAGATTTTTGTTAAAATATCCTTTGAAGTGAAGTACAAAGAGTGGGGGTGGCCGGGGGGTGGAGTGAATAAACAAACTTTCAAAAACTGAAACCTTAGCTAAAAATTGGTGATAGATAATTAAAATATTGATTACCTTGATAGTTTGATCATTTCTTCACATGACTTGTAGCTTAGATTGAAAAGAAAATATATATTTAGATCATTTTTTGCTTAAGATCATATGTTCTAGCATTTGTTTAATTGTTCTGCATAGATACGTCAGCAATACATGTCTAGAGTTTCAATTCCTTTGTACTTTATATGGATGTATTTATGTTTCTGATATGTTGGTGATTAAATTTCTCCCGATCAAATCTTGTTATTCGTCTGTGGGAATACATTTTTTTTTGCATACAGACACTATAATTAGATATACACTAATTAAAGTAGAAAAGTACATCAAATATAATGAAAAGACCTGATTAATACAACTCATATTCATTGTAATCGGTGCAAGATATTGGTCATAGGCTGGTTGACTTACTATTAATGTTTTTGACGTGGCTACTAATCTTTATACACTGACATGATTACATTTTTTTAAAAATATAGATAAATTGTTGATAGATCATAAAGAAACACAATATTCTTACTTTACTTACACCTGTTCCTCCTAATGGAGCATAGGCCGCCGAACAACATTCTCCAACTCACTCTGTCCTGGGCTTTCCTTTCTAGTTCTATCCAATTTTCGTTCATTTTCCTGATGTCTGTCTTCATTTATCAGCTTAGTGTGTTCATCGGTCTTTCACTTTTCATTTGACGTTGAGGATTCCAATTGAGGGCTTGCCTAGTGACGCAGTTCGGTGCTCCCCTCAATGTGTGCCCTATACACTTCCAGAACTTTTTCTTGATTTCTTCTTCCACTGGAATCTGGTTTGTTCTCTCCGATAGTAGGTTGTTGCTGATAATGTCTGACCAACGGATCCGAAGTATTTTGCGTGGACAACTGTTAATAAACACTTGTATCTTCTGGATGATGGCTTTCGTAGTTGTCCAGGTTTCCATCCCATACAGTAGAACTGTCTTGACATAGGTATTGGAAATTCTGACTTTGATGTTTGTTTACAGACAGTTATTTTGAGTTCCAGATATTGTACATTTGTAAATATGCTGCTCTTGCTTTGCCAATCCGCGCCTTCACATCTTCATGAGATCCATCATGTTCATCAATGATGCTACCTGGATATGTGAAGGTTTTTACATTCTCCAAATCTTCTCCATCAAGTGTGATTCGATTGATGCATGTTGTGTTGTATCTGAGAATCTTGCTTTTCCTTTTGTGTATGTTGAGACCTACTGCTGTTGAGGCTGCTGCTACACTGGTTGTTTTCTACGGCATTTGTTGTTGCGTGTGTGATAGAGGAGCCACAATATTCAGTTTCGGAATATTTTTCCATGAAGAATATAATTTGACAGAGTTTACCTTGAATTTCATTGCATTCTTTTTATCTGATTATCTTATATTGAGAAACCTGGAACTTAAAATCATACAATATTGCTGGTTATTGCTACTCAAGGACTGATTATTGTAGGAATAGATTTCTCTCAGAACATAGAACATCGAACCACACTATTTGAAGAGTTATTGAAGAAACGAAATGCTACTTATTTCATAATCAATGTAATTATATTTTACTAATTTTTTTGGTGTAAAAATAAAAGATTCAATGAAATTTCTTGCTGTTATCAAATGTTTTCGCACACTTTTCTATTCATTGTTTTCTTTATGATCCACGTAGATTATTGATATGGTTGTACTGGATATTCGTAAGCTGAAGCCGAACCGGTCTTTCAGTATTTCTGGTACCAAATCGTCACAGTCCCCAGAAATTAATACCAGTAATAATAACATTAGTTCATCATTGAGCAACTGGTGTAAACAACTTAGAAGTTATTCACCGACAAAAGATTCAGTTATTGTAGGATTATTGAGTCGGAAATGGTGAGTTATTATTTGCTTATAATATCTATACGTAGGTAAACTATCGTGTTTTACTGTATAATACTAATGATATGAAGAATTCTAAGAAATAGGTGGCTAAATCCTATACAGTCAAAAAGAGTAAACATAACCTAGGAAATAATTTGGAAATGTTTTATGACATTACTTGGTTAGAAAAACACTTTAAATATGTGTTAGTGTACATCTGCTCAAAATCGAACCTGTAATTGTCAAGATTAAAGATAATTCAAAATATTCCTCGTGATAGACACTGGTAACTCGTGACCATATGATTATTACATAGGATTTGCAAAAACTTCATAATCTTCGCAAAGTCATGTATCGATTCTTGTAACTTCTTATCATCCTGTCACATCGTAAACTACTAGTGTTGTAGCTTCGAAAACAAATACATTTTTATGTAAAGCTTAATACATTATTGGATGTTTCTTCAAGCACTGCATATCTCAATACTTTATGTTCGCTTGTATAGATCTAGACTGGAAGTAAGCTAGAGCCAACTAATCCAAAACGTGAAGTCTGTCCATAAAGTGAATGACTATTGGATTGGTTCATGTTATTAGGTGTAGACTACCTACCTGATTGTGATCGGCGTGATCATCATGATCAATTTTTTGAAACATTGGGTGATATTTATCAGAATCGATTTCAATTATGTAGGCACATTAACTCTTATTTCCATAGACTTTCAGTCTAAAAAGTAATCTAATCCTTTTTATCCCATGATTACGTTCTTTCATCTCGAATAATATTTTTTATGCTTATTATTTTATGGTACAACTGACATTTTTATTACTTCCATAATCATGACATTTGTCTTGATAATTTCATCTCTCTCTGTGCTGATATAATGTGACAACTTGTAACAATGCCCTGGTACGGCTGAGAGTGGGGAGAGTCCGCTCTCCCTCTCGAAATGCTCTCACACGGCCACGCGTATATAGCCTCTGCCAGGGAAGTCCTACTCACTGCCTTCTCGTGGCACTACTGTTGTTTACGAAAATGAGAGGACGAAAAGCGAATGTCCGGCGCTTTAACCGGATTCAAAATCAATGGTGCACATGGGCTCCAGTATCCTGCCGGAAAAAATGGCGTATGAACCAATTGCTGGTCACCGGCTTCCATGGGACTGCATCTCCTTACGATGCTCCACTGCCTTGTGGATCAGATCATTAGGTCAAAGGCTCGGAATGTGGCCCCCTAAGAAAACCACCTGCTTCGGTCTGGGCACCCGGGCAGTATCATAGCCCTCACACATATCGAATGAGATTTGTGTGGCGCACATGTATTTGGTGCCTCTTTGTACCATTATCTATGTGTTGAAATAAATAAAAATTATATGTTGTTTATGTCTGTTTGATATTGAATGTTTAAAGACCATGTTAATAACATACTGACAAGAGGTGGAGAAAGAAATTAAAGGATAACCATCTCTCCTTGATAATAACAAAAATCAGTGTTAACTCAAGACGTTGGGAAACACAGATCTTAGTAATCAGTTTATACGTTATCTTTAACTTTAGTCGGTTTGTAGAAGATACAAACCTCATCAACAAATGTCATTACTGAGTTATTACCTCAATCACGACTTGGGTAATTCCATCGGTCATAAGCTTCTCACTAGGACTATAAGTTAATCAACGTTAAACTTAACACTCTTCATCTTATGTCTGGTATTTAGTTGATAATGTAAGTATCATAATTATATCTCAAAACATTTTATACTAATTAAACATAAGATTAGATGAAAAAAACACATTCAATGTAGTTCTCTTATAGAAGAAAGATAAAAGAGTCCGCTTTTGTAAAATGTAAAACAATAAGAACCACTTCCTGTATAAATAATCAAAGTCTGTCAAACGCAACTATAAATTGACTAACATGGAATATATACAAATATAATATACAGCATCCCAGGTAATAGATAATGAAATACATTAATTTGATGTCAATATAAGATGTGATCAATGTTATTATAATGTTAATCAGTTGGTCAATCGCTGTTAAATCGCTATATACTCTTAAAAGTTCTATAATCACCTAAGTGCTCTGATTTACTAACTGGTCTCTGTAATTAGTAAGTAAACTATTTAATGGATGATAAGATATAATCAAAAATAATTGAATTTGTTCCTTAAAAACAGTTGTTAGATCAGAAGGGGTTCTGTAGATATCATAGTAATTTTAATAGATAAGATCATGAGTCAATTGAAGCTAGACCACCATGGAGATAGGCCATGAAACAAGACCACCACTAGGAAAAGCTTATTACACACACATACAGAAGTCTAATCTATTACTGAATCAAATAATAGTCCTCGTACATCCGATAAATAACCGTCTTTATAGATCAATTCGGTGTAGAATTTTTTTGATTGAGATTATGAACCTATTGATGTTAGACCACCTATGGAAACCTGGAAGCACTGGACGGCCGTTTCGTCTTATTGTGGGGCTCCTCAGTAGTGCGCATCCACGATCCCTCACCCCGCGGGATTCGAACCCAGGGCCTTTGATCTCGCGCGCGAAGGCTTAACCTACTGGAACACTGAGCCGGCATCCAATGGTGATAGTGTCTAACATCAACCAATCCACGAAATTGTGCGACCAACTTCCATTGTACTGAGGTAGATATCTATCTCTACCAGACATGGACTAGCCCCACTGATCACGGCTTCTCACTAGAACTCCGAGAATTCCCTCACGAAGCTAGTCACTAGTGAGCACATGCTGATTACTAGTATAGGGGTTGTGGAGATTATTAGGTTTTTTTGATTGAAATCATGAACCGATTGACGTTAGACCACCATTGAAAATCTGGAAGCACTCGACGGCCATTTCGTCCTATTGTGGGACTCCTCAGCAGTGCGCATCTACGATCTCGCTCGCGAACGCCTAACCTACTGAGCCGGTGTAGAATTCATTGACACACGGTAATTAGTGACACTATGTTGAATTATTTTTATTGATAAATGTCCATTGGAAATCCAGTTCTCGGTAATTTAACACAATGTACGAATATAATGTGTATGCTTGTGGGTCTGGCACTATGTCAAGTACACATAAGCTACTCTAGCTTCTTGACAGACCAATTTATTCATTCTTATTAAGCTAGCTACATTTTGACATTGTCACTTATTTGTTTGTTAACCATGTCCGTTTTTATGTGTTCATATGTGTGTTCCTTACTTACCCTTTTCATTGTGTAACTATAACGTATTTTTATTTGACTATAAACATCGATTCACTCTTGGTTAAATGGAGTTGGCTCACTCGTCTTCTACACTGTGTATCGTTTCATTTCATTTCACTTCCTTCACTGAGTTTCATTGATTGCGTATCTAGATCAAATATTGTGTGAAATATATTCACTATCGCGATTTAAGTCGATAATTACAAAGGAGGATTGAAGGCATGTATATTTCGATGATCATCATAATACAATATAATTGGAGTCAGATACTACTTCACTAAAAGTGATGAGTCTGTCAATAACATCACTGTCCTATCTAACTGGCGTCAAAATGAAAGGGCACCTAAACGCTTGTCTATTGGTGTCATAATTATTCTTTCTTATCAACAGAATTTGAGTGTAGTGAGGTGTGGTCAAGGAGAAATTTGTTGTTAATTATAGATTTAAAGTTACCCATCAGTTGCTTGTTCATATTCTACGGTAATTAAAAGTGACTACAATCGGCTTCTATTTACTATCTTTTCACTGCGAACAATATTGGCTCTCAACCTCAGTTACTTGAAGAATAAACTTTTGCAACGTTCTAGATACCTTTAAGTGAATTTAATGTCTTAATATCATGAGTTGCTCCTAATTTACTCTAATACTTTTGTATCTGAGAGGTCCACCCTTGTTACTTTCAGTAGTATGTCATCTCAGTTTTGTACATATTGACTCTTTTGGGTTCACAGTTTTAATGCTTATACTTGACAATCGTTAACTACTTCAATTACTTCATCCTACTGCTTATACTTTGAAAAGCGAAACTACTGGAATTCCTACTACACAAAGTAAGAATATGAATGACTAATGTAATGAGGATATGTTGGGTCTCCATAACATGTTTTCAAACATGTCCTAAAATCACGTTCCAAATCACATTGATCATGACAACAAAACAGAATCATTTATCCACTAAATTTTATATACATTATACATTAACACATATAAGTGGAAATACAAAGTTGCTGTTCAAAATATACAATGAATATAGTTCATCTGAATAGATACAATAAATATAATTGTCATACTTAACAAAAATCACACATCATATTAAAAGAATTTGAAACTGAATCAATACAAAATGTAGTGTGGTGTTTTTTTTCTCCTGTCCTATTGAATACACATCACAACGGCCAGTATTCTTCGCATTCTGTTGTTAAGGGTAACAAATTTGATTATAGCAGTTAGAGATTCAACATCTATTCCTCAAAACAAACAAACAAACAAGACTATTATTATCAGATTGGTTGAAGTTAGACATTAACACCGTTAGATGCCGGCCGGCTCACTCAGTGGTCTAGTTGGTTAAGCACCCGCGTGCGAGACTGATAGATCCTGGGTTCGAATCTCGCGAGGTGCGGGATCGTGGATGCGCACAGCTGAGGAGTCCCATAGTAGGGCGAAATGGTCGTCCAGTGCTCCCAGGTTTTCCATGGTGGTCTAGCTTCAATTGACTCGTGATTTCAACCAGCGAAACAAGAATATACCTTGTGATTGTAAGTAAATCAGCCTAGTAATTATCAACATGCATTACATAATAGATATTTCTAGCCAAATGACTGCTTAAAAGCTTAAATATTATGAGAAACTGAAAGACATTTGAACGACTGTAGTCCTAATATAACCAAACACGTTTATTTAGTGTACTAACATTCTATTCGATATTTGGATATATTATTATTCTTCCCACTTATTACATTCAATTTTACAGCTCTTCTGATCAAAGAAAAATACTCATGAATAAAGCTCTAAAATCTGGTTGTAATAAGGTAAGTAAGCAACATGTTTTGTTTTCACTGGTTGAAATCATGAATCGATTGAAGCTAGACCACCATGGAAAACCTAGAAGCACTGGACGAACATTTCGTCTTAGTATGGGACTCCTCAGCAGTGTGCATCGACGATCCCGCACCCCACGAGACTCGAACCCAGGATCTACCAGTCTCGCGCCAGGCGCCCAACCAACTAGACCACTGAGTGAGCCGGCCGGCATCCAGTGGTGTTAATGTCTAACTTCAACCAATCCACGAAGTTGCGCCACCGTACACCATTGTCTTCAGTGAGTTGATATCTCACAACAGACCTGGTTGAACTCCACTGGTAACGGCTTCTCACTAGAACTCCAGGAGTATCTCTTGAAGTCAGTCACTATTGAGCAGATGATTATTATCAAAAGGGGTTTTGTGAAGATTTTAGAAATTTCACTGGTTTTCTTGTTTAACTTTCACCATGTTCTATATCTTCGACCCTCTTCGAAGAAAAATAATGTGTAAACATCCTTTCATAAAACGTTTTATTCAGTTTTGTGTTTAGTAATTGAAAAGAGAGTTATACTTAAGTTTGTAATTGTCCAAGTGGTATATTCGAACGAAGTGTTAGATTTACCTCAACAACTTACAGCTTATTATTCAATACACTAGAAGTGAATGTCTGCGAATTATCATCCTTAATTATGTTTCTCTATTCTTTTCAGTAGTCTTGCATTCATATGAAATATGAGAAAACTAAATTTCATCATTCTCAATTCACTTGGTCTTGTTTGTTTGAATCTACCCATTGAAGTTTAACGCTGCAATTGATCAGTCTGTTATTGGCATATGTACATACTGTGCGTATTCCCTCGATATTGCTTTAATTCACAAGCATTATAGGCAAAGATGGATAATGGCTAGCAGTGGAATTCAGATAAGACGAAACGCGCATCCTGGATTCCACTGCTAGCCACTATCCATCTTTTCTTATCAAATTTATCATTCTCAGTTTGTCATAATTATAATATATTTATAATGCACTGATGTGTAAAAGATTAAATGTTGGATGATTCTTGATTAAGTATAAATTGTTAATTCAGAGAATATATAGGATTGTGGAGATTGTTCAGTTGAAATTGATATTATTAATGGATCAATAATCTCCACAAACCTATACTGCTAATTATCATATGCTCACTAGTGACTAACTTCAGGATTGATTTCCTGGAATTCTAGTGAGAATCTGTGACCTGTAGAGTTCAACCGTGTTTGATGTAGAGGCAGTTACTCACTGAATACAATGGAGTACGATCGTGTAATATCACAGTTTGGTTGAAGTTTGATATTAACACCATTCGATGCCAGCTCAATGGTTTGGAAGTTAAGTGTTTACACACATCAGACCGAAGGTATTAGATTCAAGTTCTACGTGTAAGATCGTGGATGCTCACTTCTGAGATGTTACACATTAAGACGAAACAGTTGTCCAGTGCTTCCATGGTTTTCAATAGTGATCTCACATTGATCCATTTATAATATCAATCGAAACTCAATCAATAATTGAATCATTCGTATGAACTATGTGCTAAGTTTATATCAAATTACCAATTTAAATCACAATATGATTCTCCATTTTAACTACAATCAATTCATGATAAATAATCAATAAATTTGATTGTCGTTTAAAAATTAAATTATAAAATTCAATAATCATCTAAATATTGATCAAAATTTAGTCAGATCTTATGTCTCTATGAGTAAATCAAAATCGATCTGGTAGATTATTGATTTATAATATTTAAAAAATCAATATTTTTCAATAAAAATCATTATTGATATGATGTGATTATTAATTATTAATTATTATTATTATTATTATTATTATTATTATTATTATTATTATTATAATCAGCTTTATTCAATATTGTATTTTTGGTACAATATAGAATTCTCAGCGCAACGTATTTCAACAAGTTTCCGTTTCTTTCTTCTTGGTCGGTCCTGGTGATAAATATTGAATGATCGCCAGTTAGATGTTAGCAGTTCAGTGAATGAACATCTGAATAATGTACATTCTTTTCATTGTATATTGCCAGCAACCACACTGTCTCTTATTGATTTTTTTGTAACTTTGACAACGAAAGGTTGTAAACTTTTCAGAAACGTAGCAGAATAGGTTATGCGATTAATAGACATAATGATATATTAAAACAAACAAAAATAAATAACTTGTTGAAATATCTAGATGGCAGGAACAGGTAGCTCAGATGCTCAAGCAGGCCGCCTTAATTAAATAATTTAATTTTCAGGATTTTTTTTCAATGTTAAAGATGTTTAATTGAATAGTAATATTACAGTAATATGTATTAAATATGTTGATGGAGTTTTGTTCTCTGAGCTTGATGGTTTGGTCGTGGAGGTTTCATCGTTCTTCTTCTGGACGACATCATCAGCACAAACTTCAAATAGAAGTGAAGTGTTCAAATTTCTCCATGTGCATTTCACAGCTTTTTCTGTACACCTCGACGTTAAGTTGGTTCTTATTGAACTTAAATTTGTGCTGATGATGTCGTTCAGAAGAACAATGAAAGCTCTACAACCAAACCATCCAGCTCGGAGAACAAAACTCCATCAAAATCATCCACTTGAGCTACAAATCTTCTCCACCGTACTAAATATGTTTAATCATCTAATCGTTAAAACTGATGCGTAGCACTTTATCAACGTGTTTTCTTAACTGGAAAAATATTGAAAAACAGAGATTATTAAATAATGTTACTGACTGTTATGATAATATCTGGAATGAGAGTGTGTATGTATTGAATATAGAACATTCAGACTTTAAAAAGAGCTGGCTGTTATTAAGCTTATGAACTGATAACTAATTGTTTAAAGTTCTACTTGTTATACTGTAAAACGTATATGTATTGTTATCAGTGAATAACGGCTTTAATCAAGATACTGTTGAGCTTTATAAATGTAATGAACAAAGACTTATTGAGAGTAAACTAATTTATTTCATTATGCGAAATCATACACTGAATTTGCAACATATTAAAACAGTACAGTTTCAGTTTGGAAAGGACAGGAGGCTAGGTAGACTGTGTTGATCCTAGCAATTGTGGTCTCTCTTTTGATGAAAGCATTGACAGATGGAGCTTCAGCCACTTGTTGAGGTAATGAGTCCCACTTATTGTTGATTCGATGGGAAAATCGATAATCGGCTGACAAGTAATTTGTTCTGGGCTTGTAAAGTTTCTGTGAGTGTTCTCGTAAATTCTCTGTTCTGCAAAACATGAAAAGTGAGGGCATATCAGATGCAAATTTATCAGTAAGTAGTCTAAAGTCGATTCTTCTATATGACATTGAAAATGGGTTTACTTTAGCCAGTCGAGCCACATATGGTAGCTAATTCGGGAATCAACTTATCTATGGTTCTTTGAACCTTTCCCAACAGCTCACTGTCTCTTTTTAGGCAGGGTTTAGCAGCTTGTACGAATACTGTATACAAAATCAAAAGGGTTTTAGCATCGATATGACTAGAGGCCCTACGTATTGACAACAGGGTTCTAAAAACTTTGGTGGCTACAACACGGCAGTATGCAGTAGATTTTAAATCTCGGCTAATGATGACTCCCTAGTCGTCTTGTGTCCACACACCAGGTAGCACACTGTTATTCAAAGTGTATGTATATGTACCTTGATGACTAATATGCATTATAATCCACATAGAAACCTTTATCGCCAACTGCCAAATTGTAAAGCATTCAGATAATTTCTCCAGGTCAATTTGAAGTTCTAATATATCACCTTTACTTCTTATTACTCTCCGTATCTTGACATCGTCAGCAAATAGCAAAACCGATGGTGACAGGCGACTAGGAGGGTCTTTTACAAACAGGAGGAACAACACCGGCCCGAAAACTGTGCCTTGAGGCACTCATTTAAGCACAGCTTCTCAGCTAGACAACTTGGAGTTAACCTGTACTCTTTGTTGGCGCTGAACTAGGAACTCCTTTATCTACATTAATAGATTTCCTCCAACCCCGATATTACTTAACTTATATAACAGCTGGTTGTGAGGAACTTTGTCAAAAGCTTTGGTGAAGTCAATGTAAGCTACATTAATAAATGGCTTTTGATCATTAAGAACGCACCAACTTTTGTGGGTTACTAATAAGTTCGTGAGACGAGATTAACCTGTTCTAAAGCCACGCTGCTTTTCAGAAGGAATCCGGTTTTCGTCAAAATACTTAAACAACTTCCGAATAGTCTTTTCCAAAATGTTAACAACCATTCTGATTAAACTTGCGGGTCGATAGTTCTCTGGCTTATGTCTCGTAACTGTTTTGAAGTTAGGAGTTACTATGGCATTCTTCCAGTCTTTTTGTGACGACTCTGAGTTACAAATAGATTAACACATATGCTACGAAATTTGTTAATTCTTTTAGTAACCTAGGATGCATTTCATCGGGCTCCACGGATTTGTCTGTACCCAGCTCATTTAGTAGATCAAAAACTTCGAATTGTTTAGTGGTTACATTGTCTAGTGTGTAAAAAGTGAAGTTGAAGGCATCACTACGGTATATACATTACTGAAGTAGTTCAAGAATACCTGATCTTTACCATAGTGCTACTGTCACCCCATAATGCTGGAATATTTCTACTCTTAGTCCTTTGGTTTGTGCACGAATATAAGCGTTTATGGCGTCCTATAGACTCCCTAACAAGTTTTGTTTTAAAAACTTCTAAACTCGCAAAGGATCAAGGCACAAATATTTAGAGGTTCTGGATATTGAGATTTTGTCTCGTTAGTACCCAGTCGCCTAAATCCCTCTCAGATTCTTCTCCTATTACGGAGAAGGGTGTGAAAATCGCTGAATTTTGTAATGAGTAAAACTGAAAGTCAACACAATGAGTTCCAACGTAGATTTATGAAAAACGGAGTTCAACCGTGTTGGATGTGAGACGGGTATCAAATAGATAATGATCATGTACTTTACGAACTTGAATTTAAA